AATTTCTAAAATACGTGACTATCTATCAATTTTGTATATTATAATTCTTATGCTTAAAAATAACAATTAAATTGATTACATAGACGACAAGTGTAAGCACCAAAAATATGTTTAAATTATTCATCTGCGGTCATATGGTATTTAAAACTAACAATTTCATGAATAATAAACATTGTTTTAACTAAACAACTAAAATACACAATCGATTGCTTTGGAAACACTAATTAAATATTGAGTTATATTATTCAATATATCATTTATAGCGACACAAAAAAATTAATTGACTTTTAGAGTCACAACACCTGATCCCTGATATTAGAGCGAATGGAGAGAAGGAAATAACATTTTTAATCAATTTGCTCACTAAACACCTGACAATACTGTATATGATTTGTAAAGTGTATATAAAATGTAATGTGGAAAAGTACTGACCAGGTCTTGACCTGAGCGTCGGTCATTTTGAGTGTTTTGGCCAGAGATGCCCTCTCGGCTGAGGCTAAGTATTTTTGTTTGTGAAATCTCTTCTCTAATTCGCAAATTTGCATTCGTGTGAAGGAAGTNACCAGGTCTTGACCTGAGCGTCGGTCATTTTGAGTGTTTTGGCCAGAGATGCCCTCTCGGCTGAGGCTAAGTATTTTTGTTTGTGAAATCTCTTCTCTAATTCGCAAATTTGCATTCGTGTGAAGGAAGTCCGCGGTTTCTTCCTCTTCGGTGGCGTACGGTTTTGGTAGGGATGGCCTATTCGTCGCGCCGGCACTGCAGGCAATCCCGGACCCAATGGAAACGGCACTGCAATTAAAACAAATGGTAATTTATGGTTAAGTTTAGACATCAAACACGGCTTTCGCCATAAACTGAATGAAAACTCATATGAAAACGGTTTCTGTATTGAGAATACAGTATAATAAAACATTTTGTTTGAAACAAAGCCTATGAATCGGAACCCATTATATATTGTGGTGTTTTATTTGACAGCTTCTCAGCGGGAGGTTTATGGCCGGCCTTTCTATTGCCGGTGACGGCGACCCGTCTTTGCCTCAGGTGTAAAACAATGTGCTCTTAATGTACACTACATTTAACAGTAAAGCCATTCAACGATACTTACAAAGTGTTGTCGTGTCTCATCTATTCAAGTACTGTATTGTGCGATAAATACTTCTCTCTCTCTCTCTCTCTCTCCTCATTTGAGGAATATTAGCACAACTTTGAGGCTTTGGCTCTAAATGTGTTTTCAACTAAATTATAGCTCTCTTTAGGAGAAGATACGAATGAAAAGTACTTTTGTCTGTACTTTAGATATTTGACTCTCAAATGAAAACACAAACTTAAGGCAGAGATAGTCAGTCAGTCTGTCAGTGGAGACAGAATATGAGAATATAGAGAATTAGACATTGAATATACAATTTGGACCCCTATGCCAATGCTTAGGCCAACGCTTGTGCCAATACTCTGAGCCTACCTGTGCTTATGCTATGCTTATATACCTGACCGGTCGGCGCCACTGATTGTGATTATAACATAAATAGAAAACAAAACTATTGTGAACTCACCTCCACTTTGTTCTCCTATTTTGAAACCTAAAAAATATTAAAAATAAATACATTATTAAACGATTGTTAAATACAAGTAATTTTGTTTTTTATTATTAATATTTATGAAAACCTGTCAATTATACTAAACGTTCACTTTATGGTCGTCTCCAACAAAAAAGCATAAGTTTAATAATATTACGATTAAAAACATATTTCTCTAATTATTGTTTAGGAGATTATATTTGAAAGCACTTTCTTCTCATTTATCATATCATTGATACTAAACTGAGTTCTCGTAAAACCAGTTCAATGAATATAAAAGATACTGAAATATGTTATATAATAATAATATCTATAAATAATAACACAATTGCTTATAAGCTTCTGAAGAAGAACTGCATTTTAAACACATAACAAATTTTATTTCTATTTAAAACATTGAAAAGTGAATTATAATTTGATTGTATAATAGAATAGATGTTGATATTAATTTAAATACACTAACATTTGAATGCTTGCTACAGTTAATAGTAAAATATTAATAATTAAATGACAATTTCTAAAATACGTGACCATCTATCAATTTTGTATATTATAATTCTTATGCTTAAAAATAACAATTAAATTGATTACATAGACGACAAGTGTAAGCACCAAAAATATGTTTAAATTATTCATCTG